GAAACCTGGAAAACAATACATGAACAAAATGAGAAGTTCCACAAAGATATAGAACTTCATAAAAAAAAGAACTGAACACATTCTAGAGCTGAAGAATACAGCAAATAAATTGGAAATTTAAATAAACAACTTCAATATCAGACTCAATCAAGCAGAAGAAAGAATTAGCAAACTCAAAGACATGGCATTTAAAATTATCCAGTTGGAGGAACAAAAAAATAAGAATGAAAAAAAGTGAAGAAATCTTACAGGACTCATGGTATATCTTTAAGAGAACCAATATACATATGTTGGAAATCTCAGAAACAAAAGAAAGAGAAAGGGACATGAAGCTTATTTAAAGAATAATGGCTGAAAACTCCCCATTCATCAAGAGATGACTAAATAAAGAATGTGATACAAAGAATATTATTATTATTTTAAAAAATATATTTTATTGATTTTTTTACAGAGAGGAAGGGAGAGTGAGAGAGAGTTAGAAACATCGATGAGAGAGAAACATTGATCAGCTGCCTCTTGCACACCCCTACTGGGGATGTGCCCGCAACCAAGGCACATGCCCTTGATCGGAATTGAACCTGGGACCTTTCAGTCCGCAGGCCGACCCTCTATCCTAGGGGTGTCGAACTCAATCAGAGAAGGGGCCAAAATCTAAAATCCAGCCTAAATCGCGGGCTGAATGGTTTACTGAACAGTCATAAACTGTCATTGTGATGGAAACGCAGCGGAGTGCAGTGATGACAGCGCGGTGCGGGCCACATTGCAAGGCCTGGCGGGATGGATTTGGCCCGAGGGCCTTGTGTTTGACACATGTGCTCTATCCACTGAGCCAAACCGGTTTCGGCATGAATATTATTTAACTAAAAAAAAAGAAAAGAAATCTTGTCATTTGCAACACCATGGATAAGTCTTGAGGGCACTCTCCTAAGTACAATAAACAGAGGACAATTACTCCATGATATTGTTAACATAAGGAATCTACTGTGTTTCCCTGAAAATAAGACATCCTCTGAAAATAAGACCTTCTTACAGGTTTCCTTCTGAGTGAAATATAAGGCATCCCCCCGAAAATAAGGCCCTCCCTAGGCTCTGTCTCAGAAACTTTGTGAAATCTAACTGCAAGAAGTTGTGACTTGGGTGAAGAATTCATGGGAGAAAATCACTGACAGTTGCATTGCAAATGCACTGCGAGCAGGCTACCTTGACAAGAAGTACTCATTTAAAGACAGTGCTATTGCTAAACATGAGAGATTTGGTCCACTGATTCTGAAAGAAATGGAGTCACAAGAAATTCACCAGGAAATTCAGAAATTGGATTGTTATGATGATGTTCCAGAAGATGATGACATGATTGTCATTGAATAAATGAGTAAATTCTTAATACTGTAGGATTCACAGTTTGTCTGGTTTGTGTTGACAACTACCATACCGTATACAGGTAATAAATTTCCTTTATTTTCATGTAACAATAAATGTGTACCGTATTCTTCTTCATGGAAAAATAAGACATCCCCTGAAAATAAGACCTAGCGCATCTTTGGGAGCAAAAATTAATATAAGACACTGTCTTATTTTCGGGGAAACAGGGTACTAGTAAACTATCGTAGTCAATCACAGGAACAGAGAGTAGAATGGTGTTGCCAGGGGCTAGAGGGAGGAGGAAACAGGGAGTTATGAGTCAAAGGGTACAAAGTTTTACTTATAAAAGATAAAGAAGTCCTAGAGATCTACACTGCAATTTAGAGCCTATTGTTAACAAGAATATGTTACATACTTAACATTTTGCTAAGAGGGTAGGTCTTAAATTAAGGGTTCTTATCGAAAACACAAACAAAATAAAGAGAATGGGAGGCCCCCCCAGCATGCTTAATGGGTTGAGCGTTGTCCCATGCACCAAGAGGTTGCTGGTTCGCTTCTTGGTCAGGGCACATGTCCAGGTTGTGGGTTCGATCCCCAGTGGGGGGTGTGCAGGAAGCAGCCAATCAATGTTTCTCTATCATCAGTGTTTCTATATTTTATTCCTCTTCCTTCCTCTCTCTCTTAAAAAAATCAATAAAAAACATTAAAAAAAAAAAAAAGAGGACGGGAGAATTTTTAAAGGTGATGGGTATGTTTGTGACATAGTTAGTGGTAATAGTTTCACGGGTGTATACTTATTTTTAAATGTACCAAGCAGTATATATTAAATATGTACAGCTTCTTGTATGTTGAGCATACCTCGATAAAATGTTTGTTTGGTCAGTTTTTTTAATTTATTATTTTAAAATATATATATTTTATTGATTTTTTACAGAGAGGAAGAGAGAGGGATAGAGAGTTAGAAACATCGATGGGAGAGAATCATCGATCAGCTGCCTCTTGCACACCCCCCACAGGGGATGTGCCCACAACCAAGGTACATGTCCTTGACTGGAATTGAACCTGGGACCCTTCAGTCCACAGGCGTGCTCTATCCACTGAGGCAAACTGGTTTCGGCTGGTGTGTTTTTTTTAATAGGAAAGGTCATTAGTTGCAGATTTAGTGGTTTGGTGTATTGGGACTTCTTAGAAAGATATGGAGGTATTTACCAGTTTTTGTCTGTCTTTCACTGATCATGAAGACCTAACTCTCTGCACTAGTAGGTGTTACTAACTTTCCACTATGGTGTTCTTTCCCGCAGCTCTATGCCAGTTCTCCAGGCCAAGTAGTCTCTAATCTTTGGACTTTCTGGGAAGGGGTAGTGGAAGGATGCCATATGTTTGAGGTATTGCAGAAGTTGGCAGCAAGTTTTCAATTTCACTCTTTGTCCACTTTCCCAGCTCCCTATCCTCGTCAGCTAAGAGCTACAATTGCCTTGGGGATCTTTGAGCTTTTGGCCATTCTGAAGGACATACAACATGACCTGTTTTCTGAGCCTAGTTTTTGGTAGATGACTATGTCATGGAACAGGGGTCATATGAGGTACCAATAGACATAGCAGTGAACCTTAATATGATGCTGGGTGAATCATGTATGGAATACTTGGCCCCATGCTTCTGGGGGGGCGGGGGATAATATAAAAAGGAGCATGAGAAGTAGGCTGTTCTAAAAATAGTTCATCAAATAGTAACTGACTTGCCTAAAGGACAGTTGTCCTTCCACCTACTTTACACAGAAATTGTTAATATCTGTTCATGAGCATGAACTTGGCCTTTTAGGAGACAGCTGTTCCAATTTCTAGACTAGAGACCTGGTCAAGTTCCAATTTCTTATTTTAGTTGGAAGCTGGACACACAGTGAATTAAGACCTGGGAGAATGTCTACTATTCAGTGGCCTAATTTGCTGCCGTGTGATTGGCTAGTAGCCTTCCAAAGGAGATCCTTGCTTCATAGCCACCGATGGCAGGCAAAATGCTACAATGTACAAAATGGGGACTCTAGAGCATTTGCTAAATAGCTATAAAACAAACAAACAAAACAAAACAAGGTAAGTCATGCTTGCAGTGCATACTCCCATGCAGCTCTTACCTATCTAGCAAGCAACTCATTATGCATTTCCAGTTTCCTGGGCCAGCATAATCTATTGACATATCAAATAAAAATATGTACCAAACGAAATTTGTGTTTTTCCTCCTGTTTCCAGCCGAAACTGGTTTAGCTCAGTGGGTAGAATGTTGGCCTGCGGACTGAAGGGTTTCCAGTTCTCTGAATGTAACCAAAATCCTACTCACCCATTCCCCATATCCAGATCTTTGACAAGTGGAGTTGACATCCTTATTCTGTTACTGCTGATTTTCCCCCACTCGGGTCTCTGCTCCTATTGTCCTCAGCCTCCACTCCCTTTTGCTTGGGCCAGTGAATACCCTCCATCTTCCCTGTCTCTTCTTAGCAATCTATTCCTAATTTTGTTGCTTAATTGCACCTCCCACTGTTAAACCTAGATTAGCATAATGGTTGAGTTGGATTTCTGGCTCTGATTTGTACTGCTAACATTTAGTGATCAAGAACTTAAGACTCTGGAGCCAAACCTCCTGACTTATGGTCTGCCTTTTAAGGACTTCTTTTCCAACCTCATTCTCCCTTTGTGGTCTACCCAAATACCTCCCACGGTCTCTACCCCAGCTTTTAAAGGCCAGTTCACCTAACCACTTCCCTGAAATAATCTTTTTCTCCTAGGAACTGCCTTGGCATGGCTCCTATACTTCTCACTACCTGCTCTGTACAAATTAAATAATTAAAAAAAGAATTTCTCTTGGGAGAACATAAGTTTCTTGAGGGCAGGATATTAATTATATTCTTTTTTTATATCTCCAATAAGTCATGGTGTGATTTATGCAGCTATAAACCTGTAGTTGATCAAGAAATATAGGTGAATGACATCAATTTGCAGGAATAAACCCAACTCCGAGGGTCCTTCCCTTTAGACTGCAGGTGTCCAACATCATCGGAAACAATAGATGAAAATGGGCGGATATAATGTATGCAAATGAAATCTTTAAAAAAGCTGACTTAAAAAATATTTCTTGAGGCTCCCACAAAGTTTTTGTATATGTGGGTTACATATATCGATAACTAGCGTATTAGAAATTATAACAGGAAAATTTAAAATAGTTCTTGATTCACTTAAGAAAACAATAAATGCACTAAATGTTAACATTAACAATGTTAAATGAATTCACTATTTATGTCTTATTCATCATGGCCTGGCACAGCTCCCAGCACCTAGAAAGTGATGGCCCCTTATTAGGAGAACCAGCTCAGGCCGCGCGGAAACAGCCAGAGCGCTCTCACCCCGCCCACCCGCCGACCGCCCCGAAAGCGGCTCTCGCCCCTCGGCCCCGCCCCTGAAGACCCTCGGCCACGCCCCTCCAGACCATAGACCCCGCCCCTCCAGACCCCGGCCCCGCCCCTCCGCGCTGGGACGCGGGTGCCAGGGCGCATGCGCAGGGCTCCCAGAGCGCTGAAGAGCGCGCCTGAGGCTGCCCCGCCCCCAGCTCCCACCGCGTGAGCCGGGAACCCGTCACCCCGGCTGCTTGGGTCGCCGTGGTTAGGTCGTCGTCATGGCCTCTTCGTGGGACGAGATGACCATGTCCTTTTCTCGCCTGCCCATGTTCCCTTTTTTTGACATCGCCCACTACGTGGTATCCGTGATGGCGCTGAAGCGTCAGCCGGGTGAGTGCGGGGCGCCGCGGACCGGCCCCCTCAGGTGAGGACGGCCGAGCCGCCTCTAGGCTGAGAGAGTCCCCTGGTCGGCTCCACCGACCCCTCCGGTGCAGGCGGGGAAACTGAGGCCGGGAAGGGCTCCCGGAACCGGTGCCTGGGATGGGGGGGGCATCAGTTCCAGGAGCTGAACCTGGGACCCTTCGGTCCCCGCTTCCTGCAAAGTGGTTACAAGTCCCTGGGGACACAGCTCCGGGGAGCGAGGCCGACTTAGTTGCTTGGAGGAAGGATAGTTTCGCATCGCTTTCCTTTTGGGAAAGTGTATAAACACTTAAATCAAAAAGCTCAAGTTGGGCACACCAGTCAGGCATGCCTCGCTTCACTGCGCTTTGCTTTACTGGCTTCCTGATGGGGCGTGTTTTGTTTTGTTTTATAGACTGAAGGCTGGACCTCACACCCGCACCCCAACAGAAGCCTTACCCTTAGCTTTATTGCTTTACTTGCCTTATTGCGGTGGAGGTCTGGAACCTGGGCTTGGGTCTTGAGGATTATTCTGTACCTCTTTTTTTTTATTATTATTTTTTAATATGTTATTGATTTTTTACAGAGAGGAAGGGAGAGGGATAGAGTTAGAAACACCGATGAGAGAGAAACATCGATCAGCTGCCTCCTGCACACCTCCTACTGGGGATGTGCCCGCAGCCAAGGCAGATGTCCTTGACCTTTATGGAACCTGGGACCCTTCAGTCCGCAGGCCCTCGCTCTATCCGCTGAATCAAACCAGCTAGGGCTGTGCTGTACCTCTTATAGACCACGGTTTTTTTTGTTTTTTTTTGTTTGTTTGTTTGTTTTTAACTCTTGTACCTCACGAATATTTTAAATTTCACTGAAGTTTATAGCCCAGTCTAAATCATTGTTTGGTAGGAGTTTTGACCTGGAAAAAGGGAATCTTACTGTATTAAGATTAAGGACAGATAATCTGCACAAGATTTGACAGATAATCTGCTTCCTGATTTGAAAAGAAGTACATTTTTCTCCTGCCCTATTCAGTAGTTGGTATTTTCTCGTGTAGGCTAAATCAGAGATTCTCAAAGTGTGGTCCAGGAACCCCAAGGGTTCCTCACACTTGCAGGTCAAAATTATTTTCATAATATGCAGATGTCTTTTTCACACTCATTTTCTAAGTGGCGTTTTCCAGAGGCTACATAACCAGTGATACTGCAACATTAAATGCAGAAGCAGATACATGACTTCCGCTGGTATCTGTTTGAAGCTAGACCTTAAAGAGAGTAGTAAAATGTAAAAGTGTGGCTTTTCCCTCTAAATGGTTTTTACTTTGGAAAATAGCTATTTTTTCATGAAAAAATACAGTATTTATGTTAACATTTAGTACGTTTATTATTTTTAAAATGAATACATAACTACTTTAAGTTATTTTATTATAATTTCTAATATTCTAAATTTTGATATATGATACCCATATAAGCCAAAGATTGTTGAGGTTTTAAATATATATATTTTTCTTTTTAAGGGTAAACATTTTAATTTTAAGGAATTTCATGGTGCACATTTTCAGTGAGTCACATAAGAAAGCAAAAATGTGCCTGGCTGGCATGGCTCAGTGGTTGAGCATGGACCTGTGAATCAGGTCACAATTCAGATTCTCAGTCAGGGCACATGCCCAGGTTGCTGGCTCCATCCCATTAGCGGGTGTGCAGGAGGCAGCAGATCAATGATTCTCTCTCACTGATATTTCTGTCTCTCTCTCCTCCTTTCCTCTTTAAAATCAATAGAATATATTTAAAAAAAAGAAAGTAAAAATGTCATTCTCCCCTTATCCTAGAAATAAATAAGGGCATAAAATTTCTTTTTAAATCACATTGGAAGTTTAGCACTAGCATCCAAAATGAACAGAAAAGGAGGGGAAAAGCATTTACTATATATTTCAGATTTCTTTGGTTGGGATTCTCTCCATGTGGTATTACTATTTCTTCTTTCAAATCATATTACTGAAACAGTAAAAACCATGAAAAAAAATATAAACCTAGTGGTTACTGAAACTGGGGAGGCTGCTTTTTTGTCTTCAGGGCAGGCATTCCCAGAAAACTAGCTGACATTCTCCCTTTTGTGTTGGTTTCGTAAACAGTAATCATAAACATTCTAATGTCCACATCTTGTTTTTTTTAGTCTTTTTTTTTTCTTTTTGCCTATTCTTTCACAAAATACTTCGTGCATCTGGCTAGTCTTCCTCTTTATTGTTTGCATATTTCTTTGGTGTTGGTAAGGTCATGTTCCGCTTTTTGTTTTACTGCTTGAATGGTCATTATTTCTTTAGGTCACTTGCTGTTGGTGAAGGTTTCTGGGGGGCCTGGTGTTATGAAGCACTGCTCTGGCTAGGTGGCTGGAGCAGGGTTCTCAGAGGGCACTTCACCTGCCTTGGTCTCTTTGCCATCTGGTGAGGGAGCCTTAGTAGGATAGTTGTATGGGCACCAGTATCCGCAGAGAGAAGATGGCTGGTTTGTACCGTTAGCCGCTTGTTGATTCTCTTTCTTTTCAGCCTCTCCCACAGCTGGGGCAGGTCATGGGTGAGGAGGTCCCTTACGCTACCTTGGACAGTAAGTTGGATTTCCACGAACAGGTCCCTCTGGGACACTCCATCTTTCATCTCTCTGCTAGCATCACATCCAAGGAGATATGGCGGTTCCCTTCTTTTCTTTTCCCATGTGACCTGTGCTGCTTAAGCAGATATCAAGGTATTTAATGAATTTGTTTGTGTTTTTATTTCTTGATCTGCATTCTGTTGGGATGAGGAAAGACCCATGAGCGATGGTCAGAGGTCTGTTCCACGTGGAGAGGCAGGAACCACCACCGGTGCTGACATTCTTATGGCCCTTGTAGGTAATTGACTTTTTTTTGTTTTGTTTTGTTTTTGCTGCTTTTAAGTCTCTTTCTTTGTCTTTAACCTTTTACATTTTAATTATGATGTGTCTTGGTGTGGGCTCTTTGGGTTCATCTTGGTTGGGACTCTGTGCTTCCTGGATTTCTATGTCTATTTCCTTCAACGAGTTAGGGAAGTTTTCCGTCATTTTTTTTTCAAATTGGATTTAAATTTCTTCCTCCTTATTCTGGAACCCCATGATGCAGATGTTGGTACACTTGAAGTTGTACCAACTTCAGAGGCTCCTTACACTATTTTCATGTTTTTGGATTCATTTTTCTTTTTGCTGTTCTGATTGGGTGTTTTTTGTTTCCTTGTATTCCAAATTGCTAATTTGATTCTCAGCTTCATCCATTCTACTGTTTATTCCTTGTAAATCATTCTTCACTTCAGTTAGTGTATTCTTCATTTCTGATTGGTTCTTTTTTATGGTTTCCATGTTCTTTTTTATGCTGTTGAATTTCTTTGCAAGTTCATCCACTTTTCCCCTAAGTTCATTGAGCATCCTTATAACCAGTGTTTTGAACTCTGCATTTAGTAGATTGCTTGTCTCCATTTTTTTCTCCTGGAGATTTGTTCTGTTCTTAAATTTGGTACATGTTAATTTTTCTCCTCATTTTGACAGCTATTTTATGCTTGTTTCTATGTATCAAGTAGAGCTGCTGTGTCTCCTGGACTTGATAGAGTGGCCTAATATAATAGGTATTCTATAGGGTCCATTGGGACTGGCTCCCCTTTTACCCCATCCAGGCATTCCAGGTGCACCCTCTTATGTAGGCTGTATACACTCTCCTGTTGCAGTTGAGCCTTGATTGTTGTTGGCACATCAATGGAAGGGATTTACCCCCAGGTTGATTGGCTACAAGGACTGGCTGCCACCACTGTGGAGGATCAGTTGTGCTGGTGCCCACCCCACAGTGCAGGACTTACTTCAGCAGTGCCTGCTAAGTCTACCTCTTGAGTGTGTTCTTTATGGAGGTGGTTGAGTAGTACCTTGACAAGAAGCTGTCCACTGGGTATGCTGGCTCTGGGGTCTCCCAAGTGGTATAGGCCAATGTCAGCTAGTGCCTATGTTTACCCTAGGGCCACCTGGTATTAGCTACAAAGTGAGCTGCTGATGGTTGCTATTTATGCTGGGCTTGGAGGTGCCCAGGTGAGGTCAATCTGTAAACCAAGGTTGGCTGCCTGTAGTGCCAGGCCTGTAGCCAATTAGCGAGGGGTAAGGGCATGCCAAGGCCAAGTGCTACTTGCTTGAGAGATTTCAGGGAAGTCTAAAGCATGAGCCAACACATGCCTTTTGTATGGAAAAGCCACTGAAAAAAAAAGCTTGACTGAGCTCCCGAGTTGGGTGGGATGGAGTCTCAGGAAATCAATAGGGCAGGGTGAACCGTGTTAGCCAGGTTGATGGAGACTCAGATATGGTGCCCTCCTGCTGGCTCTGTGGGGGAAGAATTCATAAAGTGGCCTCTGTTAGCACTTCTGTCTGGGAGAAAGCTGGCTCTCCAGTTCTTGCCTTGGCAGATACTTTAGTTCTTCCCTTTGTGTCCCTGGTGTCTTTCAAGCTGCTGCCCCCATGCTAGAACTCAGTAGATTCAAAGCTAGCCTATTTAAGAGGAACTGCTTGGGGCTCTCACAGCCCTCCCTGTCACTCAGCCACAATCCCTGCTGTTCTTTACAGCCAGAAATTATGGAGACTTATCTTCCTGGCACTGGAACGCTGGCCTGGGGTGCCTGGAGTGGGGCTGGGACCCCTTGCTCCTCAGGGGGCATCTTGCAGCAGAGATAATTGTAATTTTTATCTACCAATATGGATAGCCCATTTTTCTCTCTGACCCTCATACTAGTCTCAGTGTGTCTTCTTCTATATATCCTTAGTTGTAGGACTTCTGTTCATCCAGATTTCAGATGGTTTCAGTTTAGTTATTTTTTATGTGGTTGTGGGAGGATGGGAGTACCGTATTTATCTATGCTGCCATTTTGATCGAAAGCCTCTCATAATGAAAATGTTTTGATGTTAAAGTTCATATATGTATGTATATTAAACATTTTATACTTTGAATTATATAGATTCATATGCCAATGTGACAAATTTTGCTGAGAGTTTTCTATTGAATTATTATCATAAATATTTACATTCCAGATAGGACAGAATTTTCTTTTCTTTTTAATTTTTAGTTATTAATAAAAAAATTTTTGAATCTTCCTTCATCTGAGGATATGTTTTTATTGATTTTTAAATAGAGAGGCAAAGAGAAAGAAAGAGAGGGAGAGGTGAGAGAAACATTTATTAGTTGCCTCCTGTAAGTGCCATGACCATGGATTCAAAGCTACAACCTAGGTATGTGTCCTGACAGGGAATTGAACCTGCAGCCTTTTCGTATACAGGACAATGCTCTAATTAATTTATCCATTCAACCAGGGCATGAATTTTCTCTTTTAAATGTCAGTATATTAAAAAATAAAATAATGTATTCTAATTAACATACTTGTTTCTTAGGTAAGAAATACATATTTGTTTTAAAAATGTGAAGAAATTAAAAATACCACATAAAAACTATTTTTTGTTATCAAATATTTTTTGTATGCTCTAGAGCACATGTGTCAAACACAAGGCCCGCGGGCCAAATTCGTCCCGCCAGGCCTTGCAATGTGGCCCGCACCGCGCTGTCATCACTGCACTCCGCTGCGTTTCCATCACAATGACAGTTTATGACTGTTCAGTAAACCATTCGGCCCACGATTTAGGCTGGGTTTTAGATTTTGGCCCCTTCTCTGATTGAGTTCGACACCCCTACTCTAGAGATATGCAAGGTGTTTCTGTCTAACTTTCTATATTTTCATACTTTAACTTCACATTAAACTAATTCTGAAACCAGTATCGTATAACAAAGAAACATAGCATCCAAAGAACTTCATCATAAATTCCTCTTACTGTAAAATGTGTTAACATAGTGTGTATACTGAAAAGAGTGTTATAAAAAGACCAATTTGAGTTAGAGAAATTTTTCCAGGTGACATATTTTGAAAATTAGGACTGAAGTGAGGGGAACAATCTCTTCAGCTCTGTTCTTTTTTCCCTAAAAGATCTTAGTTTCAATGATTTAAGACTGGCTGGTGTTATGAGTACTTTTTCAGTGCCATGATGTGCCTTTCTCATCCCAGCTTTGCAATAAGAGCTCAAAAGAATTATATTGATAGCTTAGGCTCAGAAAACTGAGTCAGAAGTAGCCTAAGGGTTGCATTTTGCATACCTCTTTTTTTCTGCTGTCAATGATCAATCCATTCAACAGATAAATCAACAGAGTCTATGCCATGAACTAGGTAATAAATACATGTTTTTATGTATATTCACTCATCTTAACTTACATTCCCTGTAAGTTATGCATTATTCCCATCTTATGAAAGTTGAAATTTAAGCTTAGAGAGGTTAGAGGGTGTATAAAAAGATCACAAAACTGGTGTACAATCATAGCAGCCTTTCTCACTTGTGATACAATTAAGGGAAATTAATTGTAATGTGAAACAAACAAATGAACAAACAAATAAATAAATAGGAAAGCAAACAAACTGTTACATTAACTACAAAGGGAAAGTACTGGAACCAGGACTTATTTGTGGGTAATTAAGCTCTAGATGACATACTCATAAAAAAATATGTTTTTATTGATTTTTAGAGAGGAAGAGAGAGTGATAGAGAGATAGAAACACTGATTGGCCATCTCCTATATGCCACCTACTGGGGATTGAGCATAATCCATGTGCCTTGATCGGGAATTGAACTGTTAACCTCTTGGTTCATGGGTTGACACTCAATCACTGAGCCACACTGGCTGGGCATAGACTCCATACTAGTAAATACTCTATATTGTTTTTCACCATGAGGATTGCTCAGTATGGCAGCTAGTGTCCATTGACCAGAAGATTACACTGTGCTGATTAACCATGTTGTAATCAATCATCACTGTATGTGGCAATACTGAACAGTGCCTATACACGTTCAGTATTGCCACAATACTGAACGTGTATAGGCACTGTTCAGTATTGCCACATACAGTGATGATTGATTACAACAGTTAGATAACAAAATATATGTATTTAGGGAAATAGCGGTATTAGCTTTAAAAACTGCATGATTGTGTGTCATCAAAATAACTCTAAAAAATTCTGTGATTTATTGCTTCACTGAGATTGACATCCTGTCTTTTAGTAAGTTTATTGTAACTAATTTTTCTTCCAGATTGGAACAGGTCACCATTTCTTGCGTTGTCACCAGATGGGTATCATTAAACCTTGGCATCACTTCTCTTGTCAGGATGTGTATACCACAGAAAATTCACATCTGCCAATTCATGTTCATTCCTGGGCACATTTTGTTGTGTGGAATGGTGGGTTGCACTATTTAAATATTTATATCTCTTTTGTTTTTTTCTCCTGAGTACATACGAATGCATTCCCATGTTATACATGTAGGATGATGTTACTGCATTTGCATATACATTTTCATAGTACTGAATTTGCTTATACATTTTCATAGTTACTTTGTTGTTCATTTTTGCATAAATGGGCTTTCTCCTAAGAGGTACCAATAGTTAATAACTTGACCACATATTATTGCAGACCTAATTTTATGTATTACTTACATGTGTATGTACCTATAGAAATATTTGGTTTTCTGGTTCCTCCCTCTCCCATTAATGATTTCTTCCTATACATATTATTTATATACATATGTTTTTCTTTTTGTCATGTAAAGTTGCTACTTCTTTAGGATATGACATAATGTATTAGAATTTTGTTTAAATATGTGGATAATAAATGAACATTTTATTTTAAATAATTCAAATACAATTAAATAACATAATCAAAATAAATTTAAAGCCGCATTGATCATCTTCCCTAATCCCAAGCTTTTCTCAAGTGATAAAAGTTAATATTTGGTTTATTGCACACCTATTCTGGGCATTCGGTGTATCTGTATGTCCCTAGAAATTTAATTACAAGAAAAAAACTGAAAAACACATTCACATGAATAACATGTTACTGAACAATGAATTGGTTGTCAATGAGAGCAAGGGAGACATTAAAAGATACCTTGAGAGATATGAAAATGGAAATACAACCACCCAAAATCTATGGGACACAGTGAAAGCAGCTCTTAAGAGGGAAATTTATAGCAATACTAGCCTACCTCAAGAAATAATAAAAGTATCAAATAAAAAAAAGCCCAAAATAAAGAAAAGGAAGTAGCCAAAATTGGTTTGGCTCACTGGATAGAGCATCGGCCTGCAGACTGAAAGGTCCCAGATTCTATTCCAGTCAAGGGCATGTACCTTGGTTGTGGGCACATCCCCTGTGGGGGGTGTGCAAGAGGCAGCTGATTGATAATTCTCTCTCATCGATGTTTCTAACTCTCTATCTCCCTTCCTCTCTGTAAAAAAATCAATAAAATATATTAAAAAAAAAAGAGAAGGAAGGATATACAGATTAGATAATATATAGATTAGAATTGAAATAAACAAAATAGAGTCTAAAAAAACAATACAAAATATCAGTGAAACCAAGAGCTGATTCTTTGAAAACATAAACAAGATTGACAAACCTTTAATCAGATTCATCAAGAAAAAAAGAGGACCCAAATAACTAAAAAAATCAAAAGTAATAACTGACACCAGAGAAATAAAACGGATTATAAGAACATATGAATAACTATATGTCAACAAACTGGATAATCTGAAAGAAATGGATGGATTCCTAGTTACTACATACATTCTTCCAAAACTGAATCAAGAAGAAACAAAATCTGAACAGAATACAACTAATGAAACCAAAGCAGTGATCAAATACTCCCAGCAAACAAATGTCCTGGACTAGATGGCTTCACAGGTGAATGCTACCAAAAATTTAAAGAAAAACTCACACTTATCCTCTAGCTAGCCAAAAAAATTCAAGAGTGGGGAAGACTTCCACAGGTCATTTTATAAGGCCAACATTATTCTAATTACAAAATCAGATAAGGACACTACAAAGAAAGAAAATATAGGACAATATCACTGATAAAAATAAATGCAAAAATCCTTAGCAAAATATTAGCAAACTGAATCCATCAATTCTTAAAAAGATCATATGCCATGATCAAATGGAATTTATTCCGGGGATGCAAGGTTGATACAATATCCACAAATCAGTTATTGTGATGTATCATAAGTAAAATTAAGGATAATGATTGCTCAGTTTGCTCAGTGATTGGAGCATTGGCTCATGGACCAAAGGGTCTTGAGTTTGATTTCTGGTTGGGGTGCGTACTGGAGGCAGCCAAACGATGTGTCTTTCTTATGTTGATGTTTTTCTCTCTCCCCTTTCCTATCTCCCTCTCTCCACTCTGAAAAATCAATGGAAAAAATTCTTGGGTGAGGATTTAAAAAAAAAAAAAAGATCATATGGTCATATCAATAGATGCAGAAAAAGTATTTGACAAATGCAACACCCATCTATAATAATCTATAATAATATCTATAATAATAAAAGGTTATATGCTAATTAGACTGAATGTCCTTTTGGATGAAGCTGTGGAGGGGGGGAGGGGGGCCTAAGGCAGAGGCAGCTGCTGTGGCTGCGGGGACCGAACCCTTTGCACAAATTTCATGCATTGGGCCTCTAGTTTATGATAAAAACTCAGCAAAGTGGGACTAGAGAGGAACATATCTTAACATAATAAAGGCTATTATATAAGACAAACCCATAGTCAACATCATACTCAGCTGGAGGGGGAGGGTGGTGGAACCAAAAGTGTTCCCTTCAGATCAAAGAACAAGACAGGGTTGTTCACTTTCACCACTCCTATTAAACACTAGATGCCCGATGCACAAAATTCATGCAAGAATGGGCCTTCCTTCCCGCGGCTGCTGGCATTGGCTTCCCTCCAGCACCCAAGACCGGACTTGCTTTCCTCTGGCCTCCAGCAGGCAACTGGGACCTGGGCTTTGCTCCAGCCCTGGCTTTGTCCAGAATGATGCTGGAAGGACATCCCATTTAATTAGCATATTATCCTTTTATTATTATAGACTAGAGGCCCGTTGCACAATATTTGTGCAAAAATAGGCCTGCCTTCCCCTGGCTTCACTCCCAGCTGCCTGGGAGCTGGCACGTCTTCATTTCCCGGCCTCCCAGGAGCCAGCAAGTCCTTGCTTCTGTCCAGAGCCCTGCTCCAATAGCTCCCTCTGCAGCCCCCCTTCCCCTCACAGCAGGCGTCATGCCCCTCCCAGCGGCTCCGTGTCTGCATATGCAAATTAATCTCCATCTTTGGTTAATTTGCATACTCACTCTGATTGGCTGTGGGCATAGCAGAGTGATGGTTAATTTGCATGTTTCTCTTTTATTAGGTAAGATAGTACTGGAAGTCCTAGCCTCAGCATTCAGAGACATTTTGTGATGATGTAGATATCTGTTCCTAATCAACTTTTGCCTTTGGGTTTATTTTATTCTATTTCTAGCCTGTCATGTTGAAAGCTTTATTTATTTAGACTTTCACTTTTTTTAAGTACTTAAAATTATACATTTTTAGTAATATATATTTTTGACATTCAACTGAGAGTACTTATCGTAGGGTTGGGAATGAAAGGAAATATTAGGTGTGGATATTGTTTATACTATTAGGAGACTGGTGGTTAGAGCCTGAACAGAGTATTTTAATGTTGCCCCAAATCACCTATGTCTTAACAAATGTTTTTAATCTTGATTTAAATAACAGAAGATATTCATAATGATTGTGATTGTCATACCCATGAGTAATGATAAATTTTGAAATTAAAAAGTTGCTATTTTTTTTTTTTTTTTAGTACCACTGGTACTTTGAGAGTTATTTAATACAGTGTTTTTCAACCTTTTTTGGGCAAAGGCACACTTGTTTCATGAAAAAAATCACGAGGCACACCACCATTAGAAAATGTTAAAAAATTTAACTCTGTGCCTATATTGACTATATATAAAGTAATTCTCTTGAATAGGAATCAAATAAACACAAAGTATTTTATAATTACTTTATTATGAAATATTAAGTAAACAAAATAGTGAAAAATTATAAAATTCTTGTCTTGTCTGCACCTACGGCACACCAGGCAACATCTCGCGGCACACTAGTGTGCCGCGGAACAGCGGTTGAAAAACGCTGATTTAATATACAACTCCCTCATATCGTTTTTACTTTACCATTTCAGGAGCAGCGGCGGTGGCATGGCAGAATCCTATTTCAAGTTGGTTTACTGCTATGCTTCACTGTTTTGGTGGAGGAATTTTATCCTGTTTACTGCTTGCAGAGCCTCCATTGAGGTTTCTTACAAACCACACTAATATATTACTGGCATCTTCAATCTGGTAAGTTGCCTTTTGGTCAACTATTAGATATTTAAAACGTTGTTTTGTAAATGATTAGTAAATGGAGTTTTTTTCTTTAAAAATATTCTATGTTATTGAAAAGTTAATGCATATGCAAAGGAAAGAGCTCAAATAATCCCAAAGGTTTTATGTGAAAAGTGTGTTTCTTTCTTACCCTTCTTCTCTCCTATCCTCTCCCAGAGTCAGTTATTGTTACCATTGTCTTAATGTATCTTTAGTGGAAGCATTTCAAGTATGAAAGACCATCAATTATTTGGCCCCAAATAGTTTATCCTATGAACGTAACCCATACACACGGACATACCACAGGGGAAAATCAAGAATGCGACCACTGTATTCCAAAGTCATACTCTGTTGGATTTTTGGGAGCCTTATCAGATTTAACATTGATTTGTTTTGAATATAGTTATGAAGTGAAGAAAAAGCAATCCAAATTGCTTTGGATTCTTACAACGCAAATTCATTGTCTTGCTATCTTCTCTCTTGCTAACATTTCCTAGAAGCTTCATATTTTCTTTTTTTCAGACAGAATGAAATAGCACCTCTCTTTCATGATTATCACATCATCCTTTATTTTTCTTCTTAGACTGATTACTACCTGACATATTATCTGTTCATTTCTTTTTATGTTAGTTTGTCTTACTCCCGTAGAATAACAGCCTACCAGAGCAGGGATTTAATTTGTTAACCAGAGGCCTAATGCACAAAATTTGTATAAGAGTAGGCCTTCCTTCCCCTGCTGCCAGCATTGGTTTCCCTCCGGGACCAGGTTCCCTCTGGCTGCAGGCACCCTAGACCCAAGCTTCCCTCAGAGGGAGGCCCCATCCACCCGACGCTGGTTGGTGGCTTGGGCCTTTCTCTTTGGGGCGATCGTGGGGTAATGGCTGGGTCCCCGACAAATCGCATCTCACCTGCCTTCCTTGGCTGCCCTGGCACCAGTGGGTGTCGTAGCATTGTCCTGGATGGTCATCTGGATGGTTATTCCACTGCGGCTGTTCAGTTGATTTGTATATTATACTTTTATTATATAGGATAGTGTACTAGGTACAGTTGTAGGTTCAGTAACTACATTGCTAAAGGAATGGATTTTTGTATGTTGTTAGTTAAGGGATTTCTGTATTTGAGTAGCAAGGAATTTTAGATCATGGCTAGTTGATGGCTTCAATGAAATAAACTTGCTTTTCTAAAAATAATATTATTTCATGGCTTAAACTAAAAGGGATGTTACACATGGAAAATAAGAAATGCATTTAAAAATATATTTTGTATTGATTTGAGAAAGGAAGGGAGAGGGAAAGAGAGAAAGAAACATCAACGATGAGAGAGGATCATTGATCAGCTGCCTCCTGCACGGTCCCACACTGGGGATCCTGCAACCTTGGGCATATGCCCTTAGCGGGAATAGAATCACGACCTCCTGGTTCATAGGTCAATGCTTAATCACTTAGCCATGCCGCTGGGCAGAAATGTATTTTTATTTAGTGAATTAATAGTATAGTGTTTAATTATTTGTTAATCTCATATCTTTGATTATTCCCCTTAACATAAGAGAAAATTTAGACTTAGATTTTTTAGACTTAGTCACATGCATTTAGATTATGATTTTTTATTTTTTATTTTTTTTTAATGAGTGAGAGAGGGAGAAGCATTGATGTGAGAGAGAAACATCAATAAGTTGCCTTCTTCATGCCCTCTATTGGGGATCAAGCCTGCAACCCGGGCATGTGTCCTGACTGGTAATTGAACCAGCAACTGTACTATGGTTTTCCATACTATATGCACTCTTCTTAATCCTTACTTAGTCTTAGATTCATATCTAACTATGTATTTGATGCTTATCACCAATCCTTATGTCTTTGTCTCTCTTGTAATTTTGGTTGTCCATAGCTTATTCTCTAGTTGATTCATCAAGAACAGTAGTAGTCCCTAAATTTTCACATATCCATAAGTTTTTATCTTTGGTACTTGAAAGTGAATTTTATTGGATAAAAGTCATTGGATCACATTTTCTATCTTTGAATACTTTAAATGTTACTCTGTTTTCTTGAAAAATCTGATGATCATTTAATTTTCTTTCCCTTATAAGTCACATGCTTTTTTTTCTAGATGCCCAAAAGATTACTCTAATAATAATAATAATAATAATAATAATAATAGATTCCTCTAATAATATTTTAATTAAATTTATTGGGGTGACATAAGTTAATAAAATTATATATTATATTCACCACCCCATATTATTTCCTTCCATTACAATTTATTCCCCTTTTACCCTCTCCTATTTTCCCCTGTCCCCTTTCCCTCTGGTAATCATCATACTGTTGTCTGTCTGAGTTTTTTGTATTTTTTTTTTAATTCCTTCACTTTTTCCACCCAATCCCCCTTTCCTCCCCTCCCCTCTGATAACTACTAGTCTGTTCTTTGTATTTATGAGTCTGTTTCTATTTTGCTCGTTGGTTTTATTCATTATATCCACATGTAAATTAAATCATATGATATTTGTCTTTCTCTGACTGGCTTATTTCCTTTAGCATAATATACTCCAGGTCTTCTATGCTGTTGCAAAAGGTAAGATTCCCTCCTTTTTAATGGGTGAGTAGTATTCCATTGTGTAAATATACCTCAACTTTTTTATCCACTCACCTATTGATGAGTACTTGGGCTATTTGTATCTTTGAACTAGCAACCATACTATACTTTTCCATACTATATACTATTGTAATAATCCTGCAGTGAACATAGGAGTGCATATATTCAAAGCCTAAAAATTTAAACAAAATATGTCTTAGCATTGCTTATTCTGGGTCAGTATTCTTAGGTGTGTGATATATCTTTTTAGTAGCTACACATTTATTTTTTAATTGAGAAAGTTATTTTAGTATTTGTGCTCTTCTCTTTTCTTCAAGAACTCCTATTATTGGTATATTATCATTATTCATAAGATATGAATGCTTTTCTTTAGTGAACCTTTTATCTTAAAATTTAAAATTTTTTCTTTTTTTGTATTCTGTATTTTGAAGACCCTGTTATATTTATTTATTTTTAGTTTTCTTCCAGTTTGATCTTCATTTGTGAAATTATTTTTTTCCTTCATGAGTATTTTATCTTCAGTTCTCGGTTTTTCTATCGATAATTGTGATGTGTGTTGTTCTTTTATGTATTGTTACCACTTTCATAATGTCTTTAGCTTGTTTTAAAATAGTAGGTTGCAGTTTTGATATTTTTATGGACATATTTTCTTGAGTGATTTCTGTAGGGATTTATTGTCTGCAGGGATTTATTTATTTTTTTCTTATAATAAATTTGTATGGGATTTTACCTTAATCCTTTTCTGTTGATCACTTTTATGGGTAGTTTTATTTAACTTTTAGCATGAGGTGGAATTCAGGGAAGTTGTTCTGACTTTGTAGAGCTCCGCCTCTCTTGTTTGTATCCAGTGTTCTAAAGAGGTTGGCCTGCATTCTGAGATTTCCTAGGTCTTTTCTCCTGCCCCAGTTTAGTCTGGGTCTCCTCTTTCTTCTGCTGTTCTACTCTCCTCGGTTTTGATTTTACACCAATAGTTTCTTCTTAGTGCGGGGCTTGTTCAAGAATATAGTCTGGGTAGATCAGTTTTGGAAGTCCAAGGTGATTAAATTGATTCAACCTCATTTCAGATCTTCTTATTGTGGACCTTTTGTCTCACACAGTGTTAGAGGTGCCAGAATCCCTCCTAGTTTCAGCTACTGTCAGTGTAATTGGCCCGATAGGCTTTGCAGTGACTACACATTAGGTATTTTGGAGTTGTTATTAGTAGGTTCACTAGTTGCCACCTTATTGTTTTGTTTTTCCTTTCAAACAATGCACGCCTTGTGTGTGTTGGTGAATTGTCTCTGCATTTGGGGATTTGAAAGGGTACCTTGCTGCATAGTTTGTTTTAGGTGTTATGGATGGGATTTTGGTTTTGTTGTCTGGATGCCTTGTCTGTTTTTATGTGGAGATTTGAAGAGATCAAAATCTATGTGGCTCCTGCTGCTACCATCTTCCCAGAACTCTTGCCATTAGTTTTGATGTTCCCTGTGTGGTAAGTGTACTCTATGATGTTTGCACAACAGAATTGCTTAACGACACATTTCTCAGAACATATTCCCACTGTTAAGTGACGCATGGCTGTATATAGTTTTCTGGGATTGTTTTCTTCCCTGAACATTATTTTACTAAGATTAATCTGTATTTTGTATGTAGCTATAGTAAATTCCCTCTCACTGCTACATAATTTATTATATTAATATCTATATTTTATTTATTCTTCTGCTGGTGAGCATTTTAACAATTCTAGTTTTGTTGGTCATTACAAAACAACAACAATAGCAACCACTGTATTCTATTTACTATGTCCCATAAAGTTTTCTATGTGCTTTACATATATTATCTCTCGTAAACCTCACAAGAAACCTGCAAGATAGATACTATTTTATTCTCTTTTAAGGGTAAGGTGAAGCAAAAAGGGTTAAATAACTTGCCCAAGGAGCCAGAATTAAAAACGTAGGGTATCTAGTCCTTTCGTCTGTGCTAATGTAGTAGATTGTTTTGGATTCTGGAAATATAAGTATTATCTCTGTTCTCATAGACCCTTAATTATAAAACATGATACTTGTTTAAAGACACATTGTATTTTACTATTTTTTAAGGTTTTAATGTTGAGAACATATAATCTTTGTTCATTTGATTTTAATTTGAGAGATAAAGTGATGTTTGGAATGTACATTAAACTCTAACAAGTTAAACTAAGGGATTCTATGAATGCACTTATTGGAAAGGTCATCTTTTTTTAGTACAGTAGCTGGTGGTGCTCACATCTGGAGATTAGCACCATCTACTGGCAAAGGGAAACAACTGTTGTGAGGACAGTATACACTTTCATAGGATTTTTCCTTTTGAAACTGTTTCTGGGGGAAATAAACATGTTGTAATTTTTCTGTGTGTTGATTATTGTATCCCTGTTTGTTTTCTTTAAACTTCAAATATTTATTATATATTGCATATTTGCATAACTGCATTTTTATGAGGAAAAATACAAGAAAATATATAGTTTTATAGTCATTCTGCAATAGTCTTTTTCAAATCATATAAGGTTATTATTTTTTTTTTTAGAGCAATACGAGCAGAACCTAAGGTGTCCAGTTGTGCTAATATGAACTGTATTTAGTTTATAGTTCTGTTTTGGCTTGGTTAAGTAATACTATCTTTATAGAAGTATGGAATTAACAGTAGAATGAGAACAGTGGCTAACCAGGGGAAGCTTCTTTCTGCTCAACTCTTGGTATTAACTTAATTTCTATTTTAATCTTTACTTAAATTGGTTTAGCTTTCATTTGTCAGTGGCTTAGCATTCTGTTTGTATCTTGTTTCAGATTAACTTCTATTGCTTAGCACTATTCTTTGTCATTTTTTTTCCTCGTCATTAATTGAAATGACTTAAAAGTGGATGAGGAAAAAAAAAAGGATGAGAAATCAGTTGCCCTTTTGTTCCATTTCTTATTCAATATGTTCCATTTCTAATTTTCTGATATGTTTTATATAGGCACTTTACAAGTTAAAAGTTTTTAAGATGTGATAATTTTAGTTATTTGTGAAATGATCATTTTTACAGAAGGAGGGATATAATCATTGCTTAATGAGTTTTGGTTGAGTGTTTCGTTAAAGAAATTTTAAAAAGCTAACTTGTGTTATAGAGCAGGAATGGTTGTTCAAGGAATCCTTAGTCAGATATGTTCACTTGTAAGTGTACTGAACACATTAAAAAATTGTTCTTTTTGCCCTGTGACTACTTAACACTTGAAATAAGAGCTATTTTTTTGTTTTAAATGTTAGCTTATTATAGGTATATTTTAAGAGTCTCATGCTCTACCGACTGAGCTAGCCGGGCACTCGCTATAGGTATATTTTAGAGATACATGGAATAAAGACTTATTTATTAAAAATAGCAATAATTACAAATTTTGGATTGTATGACCTAATGTTACATAGTTGAATATAAAAGATCCAAGATGCCGAAACCGGTTTGGCTCAGTGGATAGAGCGTCAGCCTGCGGACTGAAAGGTCCCAGGTTCGATTCTGGTAAAGGGCATGTACCTTGGTTGCTGGCACATCCCCGGTGGGGGGTGTGCAGGAGGCAGCTGGTCGATGTTTCTCTCTCATTGATGTTTCTAGCTCTCTATCCCTCTCCCTTCCTCTCTGTGGAAAATCTATAAAAATATATTAAAAAAAGAAAAAGAAAAAGAAAAATTGATGAGAGAGAAACATCAATAAGCTGCCTCCTGCACACTCCCCAATGGGGATGTGCCCACAACCAAGGCACATACACATGACCAGAATTGAATCTGGGACCCTTCAGTCCCCAGGCCGATGCTTTATCCACAGAGCCAAACCAGTTAGGGCTGTATTATTTTCTATATGAACCCTACATTTGCCTCACCTTGTGTATTATCAAAGAAAAATGTATTAAGAGGGATCTATGTTTAATTATAGGAACCAATTGCTTTAGTTGTACAGAGCCATTAGAATTTAGTCTGAGCTGAGAATATTAAATAAAACTCCCAGAGTCAGGGTATATGGTACTATTTGAGTGGGACCTTGAAGAAAGAGAAGGAATTGATAGGTGGAGATAGAAAGAATTAAAAAAAGAAGAAGAAGAAGAAAGAATGCCTCAGGCTGAACAACCCATAGCATCTTGTGTAGGGTCTCTGAAGCAGTATTTTGGCAAATAGATTTCATATTCCATGCATAGTTTTGGGAATTCTTACTTTATGAACCATGAATTGCAATAAGATTATCGACTTCTTTTTTAAGAAATATAATACTTCTTTCATACAGTGTTTCCATACCACTCCCTTAGAAAGAGGATAAGTTCTGTTTTAAGCACAAAATTGTCAGCTAGAGAGTATTTTTAGGAATGGGAGGGGGGAAATGTAGAGTGTTTTCCAATTTAACACTACTGCTAAACTGTTTGAACAGATGCTTAGAACAAATGAAGCTTCAAAAAATAATTCACCTGAGGAGGAGTGAATTATCTTAAACTAGTATCACAATTTAATTGGTTAAAACTTAATCTTGCTCAACTGAATTGAAGAACAAGCTTCATATTCTTTCAGCTGTATGAAACATGTTTTTCTTTAATACAAATCTGTATCCTTGAGAGCTATGACCTTTCTTGTACAGATTGCAGTTTATGTACTGCACAAAAGAGCGCAAGTGAAGATGTTTGGGCGTAGAAATGCAATCCTTGCTCAGCTTTCCTGGAGTAAAAGGCACTCTACTAAGAGGAGCCCTTACCCTAAAGTGATTATACATTTGCTTAATTTTTTAAATGTATTTTTATTGATTTTTTTACAGAGAGGAAGGGAGAGAGATAGAGAGCTAGAAACATCAATGAGAGAGAAACATCGACCAGCTGCCTCCTGCACCCCCCCACCGGGGATATGCCCACAACCAACGTACATGCCCCTGACCGGAATCGAACCTGGGACCTGTCAGTCCGCAGACCGATGCTCAACCGCTGAGCCAAACCGGTTTCGGCTGCTTAATTTTTTTAGTGGATTCAGTACTGAGCTTTTAGAAGAGTACAGGCACAAATTAGGAACTCAGTAAATACTTTTTGCATATACAGAATATTCAGAAGTCCAAGCAAGATGAAATTTCCCTCGGACCATGACTTTTTGGCAGATCATTATATGTATTTCATGGGATTTTTAAAAAAATTGATTCTACTCAATCTGTAGTCTTCTTAAAGTAAAATTCCATGTTTATATGGAATTTATATTTATGTTTGTTGTGTTTTGCCAAATTGTTATTGCTGACAAGCTGTATTGTTATTTTTGTTCTGATTCCATTTATAAAAATATTTAAATTTTAATTTCAGGTATATTGTTTTTTTTTGCCCATGTGACCTAGTTTCCCAGGGCTATTCTTTCCTACCTGTTCAACTCTTGGCTGCAGGAATGAAGGAAGTGACCAGAACTTGGAAAATAGTAGGTGGAGTCACACATGCTAATAGCCATTACAAAAATGGCTGGTTAGTCATGATAGCTATTGGATGGGCCCGAGGTAATATTAACAGTATATGTTCATAAATGTTCTGTCTGTTATTGGTGTACTACAACTACTGAACAGTTCTCTAGTTATATTAATGAGGACCATATACTTTAATTATGTCTTTTTGGAGGATGGAATCCTTGTTCCTGTTAACTGTTAAAGTTAGTTCAAAACTAGCATTTTTTACTAGTAGTAGCCATCAGCCATTATTTTGAGCCCAACTGTCTTACAATATAAATTTTTAAAAATTTATTTATTTTTTATTAAATTATTATCTGTGTACATATTTTTACAATTGGTTTTTGTAAAATTTTATAAATTTAAAAAAAATTTTATGATTGGTTTCATTAGCAGCCCGAGAACCGGAGGGATTCATAATTAATTAAGGTGTAGTGCCATCATAAATAAACCAAGTTTACATAAGAAATTATGTGCTGCATGTAAAAAAAATTGTGTTTTTTAAAATTTTGAATAACTGGAAATGGTAAATATGATTGATTATGGGTTCATATTTACTTTGCATTGTTTACCTTTATTGTTGAGTTCTTTTGTATGTAGGGATTGAACAAATTTCTCCAATCTCCTATTATAGTATATTTTACCTAAAACTAATATCAGGGAAGGAAATAGTAAAACAGAGGATTTTATTTTTCAGATCTGAAACAAACCTCTAGCCACATCTGTGTGCCTAAGGACCCAATTTTAATTTAATTATTGGACAATAGACAGTTGCCATATGCTGAAAGGGAAGAATTCCAATAATGTCAGTACCATTAGTGTACAAGGCAACTTTTTTCTTTCCCAAAATTACATTTTGGGGGTCCTCTCGGGATTTTAAGTCAGGAAGTAAAATTATGATTTTGTTTTAAATATTTCTCTAGAAAATTTGGCTAAATATTCTTGTTTTATTTTCTTATTTTTAGGTGCAGGAGGTAGTATTATCACAAATTTTGAGCTATTGGTAAAAGGAGATTGGAAACCACAAGCTGATGAATGGATGAAGATGTCCTAGTGAGTTGATATAAACTATACTGAGAATCTGGCTTTTTATCCTTAGATCCTACCAAATTTATTTTTGGAAACATTTTGTGGATTCTAGATATGGATGAAATATAGGTGAAAAAAATAAATAGTGATGATAATGGGAAGAAAAATAGGAAACTTTATTCTTTCAAAAAGACTGCTCTCTCAAATGTAGTTTTAAAATATATATATTGATTCATTTATTTGTGGGTTCCTTTTCTTAGGAAATAAAATAGAACAAAAATTTCTAGATTGTTATAGAATTGTGAGAAGAGTATGAATTTATGGAGAGAGAATTACATAGGCACAGACTTCTCTAAATGGAAATGAATCAGTTGCAGGCTCTTGGTATTTTCATTAATGAAATCACCTAGATTTCAAATTTACATAGTTCTGTAATTTAAATGTTAAATTTAAGAGAACAAATCGAAGCATTGTCATAAAGCCCTATTAGTTGCTTTAAAAATGAAAGACGAGTTTAATTGTACATAACAATAAGAAAAAGATTAGAGGAAATAACCCACGCTCCACTTGTTGGATGCTTGCTACTTTTTGTGTCCACTTAAGAAAATCTAATTGTTAGATATTCTTTAATGACATTGACCCAGTATTAAATAAGTCACAAATGTACCCCTAATGTACCTGATAATGAAACAAAGAAGTGCAGTTTCCGTTCCCACAATTCAGGAAGGGAAAGGATTAGTGAATAGTGGCCATAATAAGCAAGGCAAGGAAAGACTTCGTGAGAAAATACACTCATTAGAATGGATTAGAAATGAAGGTGAAAAAGCAGTATGGATGATGAGGTATGTTTGAGAACCAACAAATTTCAGGATATATAATTGGAAAGTACTCTTTAAAGCTTGAATTGAGGCAGTTCAGAAATAGAACAAAGAAGGTTTTAGATGATAATGGTAAGTTATAAGTCAGGCATTAGTGTAATTAAGGGGAAATTTTTTCTCATTTTGAGTGCATGCCTTGAAATACTTTTATAAGCCATTTTGAAACCAAAATCAAATTATGTTTCTCCTCTGTTCAAAACCTTACAGTTATTCTCTGGAATGGCCAATAAGGCCCTCCAAGATCTGTCTCTCCCCCACACCCAATTTGCTTTGACTTCATCTCTAGTGCATAGCAGAGAAAACCTATTTGGTCTTAGAGAATACATATATTGTCATAAACAGAATTTTGGTAGATGTATGAATATTAGAGGTGCTGGAGAGGGCTCTGAAGGAAATGGGAAACATGATATTAGAAACTGAAGAGATGATACAATTACCGTATATAATGGCAGAAAACTTAGCTGAATTGTGGAAAGCATAACATGTAAGCAATGAACTTGATTAGTTAGCTGAGGAGATGTAGAAGCAAAGTCGAAGTTATGGACTAGATTTTTCTTGCTGCTTATGATAAAGTGTAAGAGGAAAGATTTGACTTGAAGGAATAACTGCTAAATAAAGAAACCAAGACTTGATGATTTAGGAAATTCTCAGCTAATCCAGACTGGAAAAGATGATAAAATTAGTAGACTTGTTCTTAGGAAAGCCTGCAGTGGAGAGAAAGTCTAGGGTGTTGCTGGATAATTTTTGCTAATGTTAGAAGAGATTAGGCATGGGACACATGGATCCATCCAGCTATCACAACAGAAACCAGGACTAGAGATGGGATTTTAAAGGACCATTTTGACTAATGGCATGGATTCCTGTGTCATACACAGGAGACCCATAAGTTCTTTGAAAATGTTATTTCAGCAGAAACATTGCCACCTTGGACTGAAAGGGACAGAGATAAGATGAAATAAAAGAAGGCTGTCAGACTCCTAACATTCTACAGGCAGGAAACAGGCTGATAAAAGTGCTCAGCTGCAAACATGTGCTACCCTTCAAGGAAAAGGAAGCATTATTTTAAGGTGAGGCTGTGGGCCTAGAGGTCTGAGGCCAGGCACACAGGCCGGCGTCACAGGTGTAAAGGCTAGAGCTTTGAGTGCAGAGGTTGGAACTGCAGTCTTAGAGGACACAACTTCAAGCCATTGAGGATAGCTCAGGCCTCAAAACCTAATGGAATTTGCCCTGCTGGATTTTGAACTTGTGTAGGACCACTTTATTATTCTGTTTTTTTGTTTCCTTTTGGAATGAGAATGCCTATTAACTGTTATTCTGTGCCTATTCCACCATTGTATTTTGGGAGCAGGTAGCTTATTTACTATTTCACAGGGAACTACTATAAGAATTTCCTAAATGCTTTCTGATCTTCCTAACCAACCTCATTGACTTTTTCCTAAAGCCCAGCCCTTTTCCAATTTCCTGTCCCAATTTATTGTCTACAATCATTTTTCCTCAGATCCTTGCCTTGCTTAAGAATGGAATGTGTGTGCACTAGAGGATGCCCAGGATGAGGCACTAATGTACAGATACCAAGTTATTAGAAACAAAGAGTAGCAAAATGACATGAAGACAAACCTACTTTCATTTGTTTTTTATCTCAACTTGTTAAAATACCAATTTGCTGTACATTTTATAATAACAGTTGTACATTTATATAATTTACAAATTAATTGATAAATATATTTTAGAGATACTTCTTTATCTTTTTTTTTTTAAACATTTTATTGATTTTTTACAGAGAGGAAGAGAGAGAGATAGAGAGTTAGAAACATCGATGATGAAAGAGAATCATCGATCAGCTGCCTCTTGCACACCCCCTACTAGGGATGTGCCCGCAACCAAGGTACATGCCCCTGACTGGAATTGAACCCGGGACCTTTCAGTCCGCAGGCTGATGCTCTATCCACTGAGCTAAACCGGTTTCGGCGGATACTTCTTTATCAATAGAGCTGGATGCACAGTAAAACGTTTTTAGAGACTACTTTTCCAAAACAGGAATGCTGCCCGATCATTGTTAAGCAAAGTCCAAACCCCTGTTGCCCAAACCTAACCCTGGTTTGAACTCAATTCTTAGCTTGTAATAATGAAATTAATAACCAATTTTTCATAAAATGGCTGATAGGGGCTTAAACATTCTAAGTTTATTTTATTTATTTATTTATTTTATATTTTATTGATTTTTTTACAGAGAGGAAGGGAGAGGGATAGAGAGTTAGAAACATCGATGAGAGAGAGTCATCGATCAGCTGCCTCCTGCATACCCCCTACTGGGGATATGCCCGCAACCAAGGTACATGTCCTTGACCGGAATCGAACCCGAGACCCTTCAGTCCCCAAGCCAACGCTCTATCCATTGAGCCAAACCGGTCCCGGCTCTAAGTTTATTTTTTATCTTTTTCTAGTCATCATAGAGAGTTAGATAATGATCTGTTACTGAGATATGCTTTAAATATGTGGCAAACATATGACATTAAAGTAGTGCTTCTTATTTGTAAATTCACATCTTAAACTAGTAGACTTGAACTGTTCAGCATTAATTTATTAAGATATTAGCTAATGCAAATATTCTATGCTGGCGTTAGCTAAGTAATGTGCTAGAGCAAGCTCATATTGTTTTATGAGAGCCAATTGTGTATCTCTCTTCTCTTTACACAGCAGCCTGAAGTTGGTTGTGGTGGGAATATTTACACAATGGAAATGAGAAAATACTACAAATGGGGGTTTTCTTTTACATCCCTCATTCCATCCAAGAAGTCTGTTTAGCATTATAAGGTTTTTCAGGACTAATCTACTTGTCCCAAATTATGCTGACAAACATGGGACTTCCAGATCCTTTGTAAGAAAGTGTTATGTGGTTAAATATGTTCCAGAAATATTGCATAAAGAAATGAGATAAGTTTATATAACTTAGCATTTCACAGGGCTCATTTTTGTGTTCTATCTATTAATAACTCATTAAATTAGTATTTTGTAGAGTACTCTTTGAGAAATATAGACATAGATCATGTTAATTACTTAAACTAAACTTGACTTAAAGTGTGTTTTGTTTTCAGCCCTGCCAAGGTAACCCTGCTGGGGTCAATTATCTTCACACTCCAGCACACTGAGCATCTGTTAATATCAAGGCATGATCTTGTGTTCCTCTATACCATGTTTCTTGTGGTCACAAAGGTAAGAGTTCAAAGTAGCAATAAATCAGTATCACAGATCCTGTGTAATCAGAATTCTGCATATGAAGCTAGTAACAGGAACATTTACTTTTTATTGTTAGTACAGTCTAAAATGATGAACTTTGGAGAATTTATTCAGCAAATCCATGACTTTCTGAAACTTATTTCTCATGACTCCTCATTTGATTTATGCTGAGGCTATCAGGAAAGACTTGAAGATAGTCTCAGAATATAGTAGAGGTCAGAGAGTAGTGAAAATGGCCAAGATGATGAGAGACTGCTGAGACAGTGTCATCTCATTTGGAAAATGAGGTACTTGGGTAGATGTTCTCTGAGTTTCTTTAGAATTTTAAAAAATTCATGTTAGGCATTTGTGATCTAATTTGTTTGTCTGGTTTGAAGCTTTATTCGTTCTTGAAGATAGGAGATAGTATGAGATAAGATCAGTTTTTTGAGTCAGGATGTCTTAAGTTCACACCTAGCTTTATTCTCTAATCCCTGTATGGGCAAGTCACTTAATGTCTCTAAATCCTGATTTCCTCATTTTCATTGTTTGATTGTTGAGAGGATTGGAGATGATATATGCTATTCTATTACTACATCTGACACATCCTATAAATTCTACTTCTAGCTCTATCATGAGGCTAATTCTGATTATTGTTATTCTTGCCATTATTAGATACTAGAGGCTTGGTGCATGAAATTCATGCACTTGTGGACAGGGCGGGGGGCTGGGGAGGTTCCCCTCAGCCTGGCCTGTGCCCTCTCACTGTCTGGGAGCCCTTGGGGGATGTCCGACTGCTGGCTTAGGCCTGCTCCCCATCCCCACTTAGTGGGCCTAAGCCAGCAGTAGGACATTCTTAGTCGGACATTCACAGAGGGAAGGAGGCTCCTGCCACTGCTGCTGTTCTCGCCAGCCATGAGCCCAGATTCTGGCTGAGTGGCGTTCCCCCTGTGGGAGCACACTGACCACCAGCAGGCAGGTACTGTGTTGAGTGTCTGCCCCCTGGTGTTCAGTGCACATCACAGTGACCTGTCATTCAGCTGTTCAGTCGATTTGCATATTATCCTTTTATTATATAGGATTGTTTCCTAGTCACAGCTAAGCAATGGATTTTAAAATAAGTTTACTATATAGGCCTAGAAAAATTTTATAGCTGTTTCATTGCCTAGATAGTTTTGGCTAAAACTTTTCTACAGGATTCTTAAAAGGAAGCAGTATATGTTACATACATTTATGCCTTAGAAAGAACTAAGCCACTATGGGGATCATTTATTCCTCTTTCAGTAGTCTCTGCAATGGAAGTGATCTGTGGTGGTAATTCAAGTAATGCATTACTTGATATCTGAAGCAACATCTCTTCACATGTGTCTTCCTCTTCCAGTCTTCAAATTTGGGGCTGTATGTATTTCTTTGTAACAGCTCTACTGAGAAATATTTTACATGCCATACAATTAATCCATTTAAAGTATACAGTTCAGTGTTTTTTACTATAGTCACAGAGTTGTACAGCCATCACCACATTAGAACATTTTGGTCACCCCTAAAAGAAACCTCATACTCATTAGCAGTCACTTCACATTTTCCTTTAATCCCCCAGCTGTAGGAAACTGCTAATCTACTTTCTGTTATAAATTTATTCATTCTGCTATTTTATGTAAATGGAAACATACAATATGTGGTCTTGTGACTGATTTTTTTTTTCACTTAACATAAGGATTTTGAGGTTCATCAGTGTTGTATATATCCGTACGTTATTCCTTTTTATTGCCAAATGATATTCCATCCTATGGATATACATTAAAATCTCAGTATAATGGACTGATTCAAGTGAGGGGTTGTCCTTTAAAGCCGAAAAAGTCCGTTATATAATAACAAATGCATATGTTAAAAAATTGACAAATTAGTTTACCTGTTTTTACTTATGTAGACATGTTTGTGTAATTAAAATTAAGTATGCATGAAAAATTTCTTTTTACAGAAAAGATTTCTGTTTGTATTACAGTAATTTTAAATTTATACCGAACAGGTCTAGTAAATGCGTGCATTCATAAGTCACTGTGAGTAACACGGCTGGGGCTTGGCTTAGTGCACATGGGAACATCAGCCTGCCTGCACAAGTTAAAACAGCTGCAGGAAGTCATTCCATGCAACAACAGAACCAATTATATTGTGTATGATGTGGTGTGATCATATGCTAATAGTTTACCAAACATTGTATACCGAGGCGACTCTTGGATTTAAATATGTAGACCATGGTTATAGATATGTAATATTTATTTATGTCGGTGAAATCACTACAGTGTTTTTTCCAACATATGGTCTATACGTTAAAATTTTTTAAAATAACAGTGAATCGCTTGGCCAGTGTGGCTCAGTGGTTGAGTGTCAATCTATGAGGTCACAGTTTGATTCCTGTGGTCAGGGCATATACCTGTGGTGCAGGCTCAACTCACAAGGTGGGGCATACAGGGAGCAGCCAATCAGTGATTTTCCCACATTGTTGATACTTTTATATCTCCTTTTTCCTTTTTCTCTGAAACCAATACAAATATATTTAAAAAATAACAGTGAATTAATAACAAAAAATAACTTATTAATTTAATTATAAGCAAATCTTGGTTAAAAGCATTTTCACCTGTTACATTTGGACCAGAAATTTTGTCCGTTAAATATGAAGTCCATTAAATTGAGATCTGCAAAATCAGAGGTTTATTGTACTAAATTTTATTTATCCATCATTGATAGCTATTTTTGGGTTCTTTTACTTTTTGGCCAATATGAAAATGAGCTATGAACATCCACGTTCAAGTTTTTGTGTGGACATGTGTTACATTTCTCTTGGGTATGTCATATAGGAATGGAGTTATAGGTCATATAGTAATTCTAAATTTAATCTTTTGAGGAACTTTGAGGAATTATCCAAAGTGGCTTTGTCATTTTACATTTCTACCAGCAATATATGAGAGTTCTAATTCACCACATCTTTGCCAATGCTTACCTTTTTCATTAGAGTCATTTTAGTGGGTATGTGGCATCTCATTGTTATTTTGATTTACATTTTCCTGATGACTAATGATGATGAGCATCTTTTCATGTGCATGCCGACCATTTATATATCATCTCTGGGGCAATGTCTGTTCAAACCTTTTGCCCACTTAAAAACTGACTTATCTTACTGAGTTGTAATAGTTTTCTATATATTCAGGATACCAGACCTTTGTGAGATATATATATCCCCATTATTTTTCTCCCAGTTTGTGGCTTCCTTTTTTATTTCCTTAGCATTGTCATTAAAAGAGCTGAAGTTTTTAATTTTGATGAAGTTCAGTTTATCATTTTTCTTTTATGGTCCTGCTCTTTTGTTTCCTAGCTAAAATATTCTACCATATCTCAAGGTTGTAAAGATTTTTCACCTGCATTGTTTTTCTTATAGTTTTATTGTTTCTGTTTTTACATTTAGGTTTATGATCCATTTCTTTAAAAATATTTTTATTAAATTTATTGGGTGACATTTATTAATAGGATCATATAGGTTTCAAGTATACATTTCTATGATACATGATCTGTATATTGCATTCTTTTTCAGGGTTTCTTTGTATAGTCTAAGTCTTACATTTCCATATATAAATATTATAAGGCTGTCACTTGAAGTCACATGTTATTCAATTTAGGTAATATGTTTTTTTTTTAATAGTTTGCAAAATAAGGAGATAGTTTTATATTTTCTTTGTAAAAAAAAAAAGGGGGGGTCATTCAATTTTTCACTATTATATTTGTATCACCTTGCTGAATCAAGGCCTAATAAGAGTCTCAATTCACAGAAGCCTGTCCTTGAACCTCCTGAGTCTATTTCAGCAATAACTCCTGATGTTGCAATATTTCTTGGATGAGTGATGACTCTACTGGGAGTAGAGCTTCTATTAAAACACTCGATTTGAAAAATACTTACTATAGTTCACATTCTCAGGAAATACTTTAAATCATAGCACTCTTCTCTTTTGTATATTGTTTTAAAAAATGCTGTTTTTCTGACAGTAGGCCATTGTTTTTATCTGAATTCTTCTGTTTTTTTATTAATCCTATCCTGAGGCTATTTTTTCATTGATTTTTAGAGAGAGGGGAAGGGAGCAGGAGATACAGAGAGAGAGAGAGGAACAGCCACATGATACATATTGACTGCTTGCTTCCTCAGACCAGGGCCGGGGATCAAGCCTGCAACCAAAGTATGTACTCTTGACCAAAATTGAACCCAGGATCCTTCAGTCATAGCCAACACTATATGCACTGAGCCAAACTGGCTAGAGCTGAATTCTTTTATCTTTTATTCACAGTCCATGAAGTCAATAATTTTGCTAGTACCTCTTATTGTACTAAAGAATAGTTTAATGTAAGGAAATTTTTCTTAGATAGTACCCAATAAACTTGGAGGTGAACATTCTATTAGGATTTTTTTTCACTATTTTCTCCCCAGGTGAGCACATTCATATTCATGCCTTTACCCTCTACTTATATGGTAATGATTTCCGAATCTATATCTTGTACTTAAATGTTTCTGGGAAAAACCTGTTACTGCACTTCTCTTTACTGTTCTATAATTATTGATTTACTTGCTTGTCTCTGACTAGTCTGTAAGCTCCGTGAAGGCAGGGATTACATTCAACATTTTTCTAGCAGCCAGGTATAAGGCGCAAACAGATTATTTAAATCCTCTTGATGGCTACTTTTAGTCTTTGTTAGTGCTGTTCTGATGTGACCCTTTTGGGACCTCAATTTAAACCTGAAGTGCATTTCTAGACAGTTTCACCTTGCCTAGCCCTGAACTTCAAACTGTCTGAAGTCTCTGCTCTGTTCTTTAGCATTCCAGCTGTGGCTGTTTGCTAGGCAAAGAACCTAAATAGATTTTTTTTCTTTACAAAGAAGAGATACAAATGGCCGACAGGTACATGAAAAGATGCTTAACATCATATCAGGGAAATGCAGATTATAACCACAATGAGATATCATCCCACACCTGTTAGAATGGCTATTATAAAAAAGACAAGAAATAACAAGTCTTGGTGAGGATATGGAGAAAAGGGAATCTCGTACCCTGTTGGTGGGAATGTAAATTGGTATAGCTACTATGGATAACAGTGTGGAAGTTCTCAGAAAATTAAAAATAGAACTACTACCAGATGAGTTAACATTTTACTTCTGGTATTTATCAGGAGAAAACGAAAATGCTAAGACAAAAATGATACATGCCAGGAGGTCAGGGTTCGATTTCTGGTCAGGGCACATGCCCAGGTTTCAGGCTAGATCCCAGTAGTAGGTAGAGGGTGGGCAGGAGACAGCCTATCAGTGATTTTCTCTCATCATTGATGTTTCTGTTTCTCTTTCGGTCTCCCTTCTCTGAAATTAATAAAAATATATTTTAATCACAACAACAAAAATAGTATATGCCAACCCCATGTTCATTGCAGCATTGTTTACTGTAGCCAAGATTTGATAACAACCTAAGTGGCCATCAAAAGATGAATGAAGCCGAAACTGGTTTGGCTCAGTGGATGGAGCATCGGCCTATGGACTGAAGGGTCCCAGGTTCGATTCTGGTCAAGGGCATGTACATTGGTTGCGGACACATCCCTGGTAGGGGGTGTACAGGAGGCAGCTGGTCGATGTTTCTCTCTCATTGATGTTTCTAGTTCTCTGTCCCTCTCCCTTCCTCTCTGTGAAAAATCAATAAAATATATTTTAAAAAAAGATGAATGAATGAAGACTATATGATGAATATGTATACAATGAAATATTCAACCATAAAAAGGAGTGAAATATTGCCATTTGTGCCAGCATGCATGGACCTTGAGGACATTATGCTACATCAGTGGTTGGCTAACTGTGGCTCGCGAGTGGTGGCTGTCGAGCTGCAGTTTGCCACTCTGTTGACTAATGAGTTTGCCGACCACTATGTTAGGTGAAATAATACAGAGAAAGACAAATACAGTTTAATCTCATTTACATATAGAATCTAAAAATTAAGAAAACACACCAAATTCATATAGAGGGAAGAGAAATTAATGGTTGCTATAGGCAGGGTGTGGTGATGGGCCAAATAGGTGAAGGGGGTCAAAAGGTACAAACTTAGAGTTATAAATTAAGTTATTGGGCATGGTGACTATAGTTAATAAAACTATACTGCATATTTGAAAGTTGCTAAGAGAGGAGATCTTAAAAATTCTCATCACAAGAAATAAATTTTTTTGTAACTGTGTATGATGATGGATGTTAACTAGACTAATTGTAACTATTTCCCAGTATGTACATATATGCAATCATACGTTGTACACTTGAAACTAGCATGTTAAATGTTGATTACATCTCAATAAAAAAATATTTTGAAATTATTCTTTTTTTTTATTTTTGATTACTTATCCCTTTTACTTTGAGGACAAACATTTGTATTTAAATTCAAACTTGAACTTTTTTTCCAGATAATCATGATGACTACAGCGACCCCTATTCTGCCTTTTGCTCCTTTTGAAGCTACAATAAGTCGGATATTGTTTGGCTGGCAGCAACAGTTCTTACCATGTGAAAAGAAAAGTGAAATAAGCACATCGACCTCAAAGTCTACAGCTGTTATTTCAGATAAAGTTAAAAAGAAGGGCAATAAGAAGACTGACTAAATTTACTCGATGAATTTTAGAAGGCAAAAAAAATTTCTTATCTACCTAGCAGACTGTGATAAGTATTTCTATTGTAAATGATGTGAAATAAAGATTACACATAAGGAATGGAGGTGACAAAAAGAAAGAACTTCTTTCTATTTCAGGGAGACCATCCCTTTCTGGATTGTAATTCTCCAGTGTTGTGAGTGTATCATGTGAAATTGTTCTTCTAAGTTATAAAATATTGTGGATATTTTATGGCTTTATATTGATAAAAGCAGGCTATATTTTTTTAGTGTTAGAGAAAGTGAACCTATTATCATTGCAAAATTACAAAAATTAAATTCTTTTTGTTTTCTTTAGATATTGATATTTTAAAATTTATTTGAGCTTTAGTTTAGCAAAATTAAACTTCTACTTCACATTACCATTATAATTTCTAGATATGGAAAACAATTCCTGTTTAATTTTGAACACGGGGAAAAGCAAACTTTACCTAAATGACTTTACATTGCAAAGAAAGTAAATAACTAGTTTATATCTCAGATATAAATATTGTATATTTTGCCCCATTAAATGGAAATATCTGAAATTTTATTAGTTTTTTTCTAGTAGTTTTTTTCAGTGAGAACAGAGTATTAGCATGAGTCTCAAAGTCTTTTTCATGCCCTTGTTTATACTGTTTCTTTTGTCTCAAAAAAATCAGGGGTATAATTTTAAATAAATTACTAGGTCTATGTTTTGCTTAGTAAGTTTCATTTGAGAAGCTACTATTTTTTTCTCTCTCCTTAAAACTCATTTGTTTTTAACTGTAGAAGAAATTATTTTCAGAATTTCACATGTTCTTTCTGATCTTAGTTGGTTTGAATATACTGATGGTACTATCATCTTAATGATTCAACAAAAAGTATTATTTTAATTAAAAAATTTTCCCTTTATGTGTCTTTTCTAAGGGGAACTTTTCAGTTTTCTAGTTGAAATGTCTCTATGTGTTTGTATTGTATTTTAATCTGTATGTACATATATTATTAATTTTATTTTAAATTAAAAATAATTACCCTTATGCGAAAATGCTCAGCTTTTATGAGAATTATCCTCATGCCTTCGGCAGTAACCAGCTAACCAAGAAAAAGAAACTAAAATCTCATGGTAATTCACTTGAGTGAAAACTGATGACATTGTATCTGGTTTCTTTTATATTTTCTTGCTTTATTTTATAGTTTAAAAGTCCAGTTATGATTTTAAAATTCTGCGACTGACATTTCTTCTATCCAGACTATAAATCTGCCTACCTGCAAAGAATTAGTATGTATCCAGCATTTTTGGATGGTGAAGTACTCAAATCACATTCAAATTAAAAGTTTAAAAATATTTTTAACAAATACAATACACCAGCAGGGACTATACTTTTACTTGCTAAAAAACTTTTTTGGGGCATGGGGTAGGACCTTTGATAGCTTTTGTATACTAAGAAATTTATTTTTAATATTGTGACAAAAGGCATTAAAATATGAGTTCTTTGTTACGTTTGATACTCTTGTACTTTTCAAAATTAACATGTTACTAATTGTTGACTTAGTTTTGAAGTTTGGGTTTGACTGTGGTTGAAATGGCAGTAATCTTGTTTTACACTTGTGTTAAAGACAAAGCTATTAAAATAAGTTATTTGACACCAATGAAGTATTACATTATTTTATGATTAAAAAAATAGTTTTCTTGAGTTACCCATTCAAAACTCATTAGGTGTATTGACTGATAGAGTATGTACTAAATAATTACTGTCCAAATGGGACATTGGTACAGACTTTTAAAATCTATGCAAGCTTCCTAAAACCTTCAGTTCAAGGATCTTAGGAGAAAGATGTTCTGGAGAACATAGCTTAAGCCTGAATCTACCCTTGCTGCCAGAGACTTGAGATTTGCAAAGCAGATTGTTAGACTCCTTACCCAACTTGTAGCATAAATGAGACCTTTTGACCAGCTTAACAGCCTATTATTGGTAGTCCTGAGAAAGTTAAGTCCTGGTAGATCTCCTTACCTAAAAGGAAATAAGAAGCTGACAAGAACATTGGCTGGCTTAACTCAGTGATCTCACATTCTAATAAAATGTGGCCGAATTAATACCAATTCTGACTTTTTAAATTAGTCATTCTTCCTTGCTGAGGGTAAAGGCTGGAGGAGCCAAATATGTGGAACTGGTATATTTTTTGTTTACTCCTTTAAGGCCTAACACCATTTCATTAAAATTACTTCAAATCACAAATTGATTACAATTGAGTTTTACACTTGTGCTGCATTTGTTTGTTAAAGACTCCAAGAGAGTAGTGGGGGGAGGTTGTCAAACATTTTAATTTTGTCTGTTTTCAATGAGTAATTGGGATTCTTATGTTTTGATTTGCATTTTCCTGATGATTAATGATGTAGAGTACTTTTTTGTGTATGCACATTGACCATTTGTTTTTCTCCCTCTATAAAGTGTCTCTACAGATCTTTTGCCCATATTTTATTGGATTTGTCTTTTTATTATTAAGTTGTAGGAGTTCTTTATTTATCTTTGGTATTTATCCTTTGTAAAACAGGTATTTTCTTTCTGGGCTGTAGCTTACCTATTCACTTTTATAATGATGCCTTTTAATGATCATGGATTTTTAATTTTGAGGCAATCTAATTTTCCAGTATTTTATTCATAGTTATTATTCCCTGTCTTAAGAAACTTTTGCCTACCTCCAAGTCATGACATTATTTGCCCATCTGAGGAATCTGCAACAAGGGAGAAACACTTAAAAGAGAAACCCTATACTGTTCTGTAAATTAATAATTTTGGCACTCAGCAAGTCACTTAGCTCTAATTTTTGATTCTGCTTTTTGAAAATAATTGTACACCTTATATATCGATAACTTTTCCTGAGTTTGTGCTACATATTATCCGTTAAAGGAATTTAGGACTTTTCTATATGTGTCTATTTAAGGACTTTTTGTAGTCAGGCTTGACTTTAGTTTGTAACAACTCTGATATTTCATTTAAGAGATGGTAAATAAGAATGTGGTAACAGAAAATATTTTAAAAAATGAAGTAAGTTCTCTAAGCTCAGAGTTGGTATGGAACTGGTTGGAAAAATAGTGTTCCAAATATATATCCCATTAGTGCATATGTGTGGTGAGCAGTGGTCTGACAAGAAAATCAGTAGACCTTTTCTTAGATTAATTTACTTGTAGGCTGTCTGGTAATTCATGACACTTAATAAAGAGAATTAAGATTTCTTTGGGATCAAGAAAAATTATGCAATTTATATTGTATGTTGGGATTACTATCAGCAAACAATGGTTTAGTGAAGGGGAGAGAAAGAAAGGGACTTCTGTCAGACAAATTTATTTTTATTTCTGTAAAGTTGTATTTTTTAAAGAGAATCAAGTTGAGGATAGATATATGTATTTTTACAAATATTTTGTGTAATCCCGCAGTTTGACTTAAAAATTCAGCCTAATCTCAATAAAAATAGACTGTTGACTGAACCTTCCTTGAGAATAATATGAAGTAAAAGGAATCTGCTACAGGGGCTGATAAGCAGCATGATTGTATTGACATCTTAATGAGCTGTGAGAGGAAGTGCATAGCATCTTGATTAAATTTTCAAAGGATGGTAGGTGTTATGAAAGCCTGTGATGACAGGAAAGATGTAAAGGATTAAAAATATGCTTGGAAAAATGACTCAGCTTAAAAAAAATATAAGTATCCATCTGGGAAGAATTATATAAGGCTCAAGCCTAAGGAAATATGCATGCATTTTGTAGTAAACTTTGAATAACAAAAATTATGGAACATTAGCAGGTTACAGTCTTTATTTTGAGCAGCCTGACATTTTGGAGTTATGTGACTGAGGAAGAGAGAGTAATTCATGTTAGAGGATAAATAGCAGTCTTTGCCATGACTGCTGATCTGAAAGGACTGTTTTGAAGATAATGTATGTTAAAATGACTACTGAGAAGAGTAGTCAATTTAGGTGAAACCAGAGGTCTATATAGGTTGAAGCCCAAATAATGTGTGCCAGTCATTTCCCATGTGTAATACCTGAACCTCACAAGCCAATAAGATAGGAAGTTCAGAAGTCCACTCTCCTCCTGACACTGTTGCTGTGTTTTATTGTTGTTGTTACAATGGTGTGATGATAGGATGGTATTATTACAGAGGAGCCCAGTCATTGTGTGTGGCCTTCTGACTGGTCTATTTAAATAATTCTATCATTTAAAAATTTTTATTTTATTTTATTGTTTAAAGTATTACAAATAGTAATACATATGTCTTCCTTTTTCTCCCATTGACCTTCCCCTGGCCTTCCCTACCCATCGGCACATGCCCTCCCTGCCGTTCCCCCACGACCTAAAGGAAACAAACATCAGTTCAGTTCAGGCAAGGATATGAGGAAACTGCTAAGGCAAGTAACCTTTGTTAGAAACAGTAACATTTCTTCAAAACAGCACTTACCAGATTCACATTGAGAACTTTTTAAAAAAATATATTTTATTGACTTTCCACAGAGAGGAGGAGAGAGGGATAGAGAGCTAGAAACATCAATGAGAGAGAAACATCGACCAGCTGCCTCTCGCACATCCCCTACTGGGGATGTGCCTGCAACCAATGTACATGCCCTTGACGGGAATCGAACCCGGGGCCCTTCAGTCCGCAGACCGACGCTCCACCACTGAGCCAAACCGGTTTCAGCATACATTGAAAACTTTTAATTGATGTATAGCATTCTGAAAATTGAGCAAAATTTGTTTGTCAATTGATCGTAAAGAGAACATACCCATGTGTTTATCATGGAGTGTCTGGTTTATTTTCTGTGCATTATGTTCGTGAGGTTCATAGATGTTACTTAGTGTAGCTTGTAGTTCATTCATTTTCATTACTAGTATTGTATAACTGCACCTTAGTTTTTAAAAAAGGTTTTTATTGATTTTTAGAAAGAGGAAAGGGATGGGGAATAGAGAAAAACATTGATCAGCTGCCTCCTGCACACCTCCTACTGGGGATTGAGCCTGCGTGTGCCCTGACTGGGAATCAATCTGGTGACCTCTTGGTTCATGGGTCAGTCTACAGTGAGCCACAATGGCTAGGCTACATCTCAGTTTGTGTATCTGATCCATTGGATTGATGGAAATTTTAGGTTGTTTTTCATTTTGGGCTATTACAAAATACTGCTGCTACAAATTTTCTTTTGCATATCTTTGGTGCGTATGT